AAGAACATGGCATCCGAATTGGAAGACACATCTTGCTTGCTGAAAATAAAGATGACTTCTGATGAAGATGAGAGACCACAGCTTTCAATATGGGTTACACCTCTATATAAAGAAAACAGAAATAGAAATCCTCACAACTGAACCAATAGGGAACATCATAATAAATGGAAACAGTATTGAAGTAGTCAAGGATTTCATTTTACTTGGCTCCACAATCAACATCCATGGAAGCATTAGTCAAGAAATCAAAGAACTTATTGCATTAGGCAAGGCTGATACAAAAAACCTCTTCAAAGTGTTACAAAGATGTCAGATTGATGACTAAGGTGCAGTGACCCAAGCCACAGTATATATCATCATCTCATATGCTTGTGAGAATGGGACAATTAATAAGGAAGATTAAAATAGAATTGGAGCATTTGAATTACGGTGTTTATAAAGAATATTGAATGTACCAGGGTCTGACAGAACAAATTTGTGTTGGAAGCATTATAGCCAGAAAGACCCTTAATAGCAAGATGACAAGCCTTCGCCTCAAGTTCTTTGGACATGCTATCAGGAGGGACCAGTCCCTAGAGAAAGATGTTGTTGTTGTTGTTGTTGTTGTTGAGTGCCGTTGAGTCAATTCTGACCCGTAGCGACCCTGTTTTAGGGTTTCCGAGGAGCAGCTGGTGAGCTTGAACCAGCGACCTTGCAATTCAAACGGCTTTGCAGTCTGGCACATTAACCTACAGCGCCACACCAGGCCTCCTGGACAAAGATGTTATACATGGTAAAATAGAGGGTCAGTAAGAAAGAGGAAAACGAGGAAAACCCTAAGATGAATTGACATAGAAGCTACAACTATGGGCTCAAACATAGCAACAGTTATGAGGATGTTGATGGACCAGGACTGGGTAGCATTTAATTGTGTTGTACATAGGGTCCCTATGAATAGTAACTGACCCCGGACTGCACCTAACCACAACATCCTTGAGAGCTTTTTCTCCACAGGTATCATTGAGTGTATTCAAAGTGCCTTTAAGTTAGCAGTCAAGCACAAATCATTTGACAGTCTTTGAGAATATTGTTAATGGATTTCCATTTCTTAACTAAGACACCATCATCTCCTGTCTCTGTCAGTTTCCATATTAAATCCTTTTACAATATCCTTGTTGATCATTCCTGATTAGGTGCTTACTACATGCGACACTTGGTACTTTATGCTTACTATCACATTTAATCTTTGGGAGAGGGCTTCTACCAACATTTACCTGACCATGTTTTTTCAAAATCTGTAGAAGAGATATTAATCTTTAGTCATCAGCTAAGATCTCTCTCCCACTTCAATCTTCCTTTCTTTAGGGTGGTGTTGGCTTTGTGGGCTAGGCACTGGGCTGGTGTTTCAAACCCACCAGCCACAACTTGGGAGAAAGATGAGACTGACTGTTCCTGTAAAGATGTAGTCTTGGAAATCTTAAGGAGCAGTTCTATCCTTTCCTATGGGGTCACTACGAATTAGAAATCAGCTCAGTGGCAGTGGGTTTGTTGGTTTGGTTTCCCAGTAACTCAGGTAAGAGGAAAGGTGAGTCTGGGACACACTTACTTGCCAAGGAGTTGATTCCATCCCACAGTGACCTCATGTGCTACAATGTAGAACTGCTCCGTTTGCGCCACCTAGGGGTCTTAGTTGTTTAAACCACGTTGCCATCCAGTTGATTTAGACTCACCTGGACCCTATAGAACAGAGGAGTCATGGTGCAGCGCTACAGGATAAGCACTCAACTGCAATGTCAGCAGTTCAAATCCACCAATCACTACTCAGAAACCCTATTGTTGTTGTTGTCAGGTGCCATCAAGTCGGAACCGACTCATAGCGACCCCATGCACAGCAGAACGAAACAATGTCTGATCCTGGGCCAACCTCACTACTGCTGCCACACTTGAGTCCATCAATGATGCCACCTGGCCAATGCACAACAGAACGACACTGCCCAGTTCTGGGCCAACCTCACAATTGCTGCCACTTTGCCAATCCATCTTGCTGGGAGTCTTCCTCTTTTTCTCTGACCTTACCAAACATGATATCCTTTTCCAGTGACTGGTCCTTCCTGACAATATGTCCGAATTATGAAAGACCAAGTTTGGCCATTCTGGCCTCCAAGGAGCACTCTGGCTGCACTCCCCTCCAACACAGATCTGTTGGTTCTTTTAGAAGTCCATGGTACTTTCAGTATTTCTCTAACACAACTCAAAAGCATCAATTCTTCTACGGTCTTGCTTACTCACTCTCCAGCTTTCGCAGGCATGAGGAAGGCAACCTGGGACAGGATGAATTGCAGCTTAGAAGCACCAGGTATGGTGGCACTGCGGTCAATGTACTCAGGATCCAGGTATTTGATCAAGTCTTCAATCTTTTTGTACAGAATCGTCACCCTCTTCCTCTTGCTGGCGATGTTCCCCAAAGCCTTAAACTGACCATCAGCCACCTTCCGCAAGCCACGTGCCCCGCCTGGTCCATAAACCCAACGCTCCAGCTCCTCCACACGGGATTGTAGCTGCAGCCGATCTGTCACAGATGCCATCGCTACCGCCACCCGGCCTCAGCTGGGGAACAGAGCACTCCTATTTTTTATCAGACTCCTTAAGATTGACAATTCAATCCAACCCGGAAGTATCTTGGAAGGCCTGGCAATTTGCTCTCCAAGGGTCAAACCCCAACCAAGCCCACTGCCATTGAGTGGATTCTGCCCTGTACATGGGAAACCTATACAGGGCTTCCAAGGCTACACATCTTTAAGGGAACAGAGAGCCTCATCCTTCTCATGTGCAATGGCTGGTAGTTTGACCTGTCAATGCAGCCTTGAAACCCCATGGGGCTTATTTCTACTCTGCAACATAAGGGGTCACCAGGAGTCAGAATAGACTTAATAGCAATTAGGTTTTTTTGTTGCTAACAGTGTGTTAAACCTACATCGTCCTATACCTAATAACTAGCATAAAACGGACAGTCGTTAAGTGTTGACTCAGTTTGGACTTATAGTGATCCTGTACAGGGTTTCTGAGGCGACTGTGATTTGCCAACCTTGCAAATGAATGCCACAACAGGATTGTAAGATGATCAGTATACACATAATAAGAGGAATAGGTCATGTACTGAAAAAAGGGGGTAAAAATCACCATTCAGTTTGACACCATACTTTATTTTGTAGTGTAGCTAGAAATACCCAGTAACTATATATTTTGAAGCAGGGGGTGAAAAAAAACCCAAAACCTCTTTTCCTTTTTATAGCATTTTAGCACAAGAAAAAAGTTTGTGGTTTAGAAGTGATGTTGAATCTCTATGAAAATGTATTTTGCATTTGTGGAACTTCAAAGTCTAACAGCACTGGACACATTTTCAAGAAACCACTTATACTTTTATCCATTTATGGTATTTGCAGTGTTAGAATGTTGATGGTAAGGTAGATAGAGCTAAGTACATCAAAGAATCCAAAAGCAACCGATTTTCTTGAGTTAGTCACACACAGAACATACTGGGAGTTTTGAAAAGAGAACACACATAAACAAAAAGAATACCAGCAGCAAGCTCAAAAGCAAATTTATATGCTGAGTATTTTTAAAGGGTTTAAAAAGCATGCTCCATCAGCATACAGCCTTTTCTCCCTTACACAATAGATACATCTCTAATTTTCTTGTGTATAGCAGCAAGAAGAGTTAGAACCGGAATCAACTTCCTTAACACTTCAAAAATGTGCTCTACGGAATGAACTGCACTACTCCTACCTCCTTGGATCCTCTTAATAAACCAAGTACAGAGGACTGAAGGTAAAATCCCTTGAAACGGTTAAACACTGACATTTTAATGGAAGATGGAGTTCTCCAAGTGTACACAGTATTTGTACTTTGTCTTGTTTTAATGTAAAACAGAAAACAATGTATCATTTTGTTTTTCTGAAGCAACGAGAGGAATTAGAGATGGAGCTATGACTGCAGTATGTATTAAGTGCAGTCCAGTCAATTCTGACTCATAGCAACCCTGTAGAGTGTTTCTGAGGAGCAGTTGGTAGTCAATTCTACAGTGAAAAACCACTCTATTCACACCTCAGTCTCTAACATACAAAGATGAATTAAATACCAACAGGATCTCACCAATGTATAAGTCAAAAACATACATATGAAATCTTTTGACCAAGTAAGGAACTACAGTTGTTACGGGTATTACCCTACATAACCCACCACTGTTGTTTGTTAAGTGCTGTCGAGTCAGTTCCGACTCATAACAACCCTGTATAGGGTTTTCGACGAGGAGCTGGTGGGTTTGAACTGCCGACCTTGTGGTTCACAGTTCAGAGTTGATCCTACAGCGCCACACCAGAAGCCTATAACCACCATATGTTACATAGTAAACTAAATCCAGCATAAAATATGCTTTGCTGTGAGTGATAGAAGGAATGACGATGCTGATGAAAAACCAAACAAGAAACAACCTATCTTTAACCCAAGAATAAAAAAAAAGGAAAAAATAAAAATTAAGCAACAAGCAGAAAGCAGAGTTAGTTATCTTTTGAGCAAGAAACATACAGAAATATAGTACTCCCTCTTCCCCTATGTGGAAATAATTTGAAACATTTTACACAATGGATAAGAACCCAGCTAAATAAATAATGCAGCATCACAAAAATCACCCTTTCACTACTGTTAGATTTTACACCAACTGCAACAGGCTCGCTTGCATACATCACAGGATTGCCGCGGTCCTGCTGGGTACGTCCAGTCCCTACAGTCCTACTGCAATACTGGTGGTCCCAGGTTGTTGTTGTTTTTTTTTTAATTGAAATAAATCATTTTCTTTAAAAAATAAAGCATTTTAAAAGACAAATAAAAATGTAACCATGTATCCAACTCTGCCTGGTAAATCTTTATTTCACTCAAGCTAGAGTGATCAATCTTCTACACTTAAGGATCTTCCTTGCCCGACCAATCCAAAAGAGCCAAACAAAATGATTAGTAACAAAAAATGTAGGAATCAGCACATCCTTTTGTTTTGTATACTTTAAGGTTTAAAAAGTGTTTTAAGTTTGTACTTGCTAATAGGAAATCATTATCTGAATGAATACCCTAATGGCAAATGAGTGAAAATGTCTCAGCTGCATTGGGGCTGCAGGGAAGGGTGGTCTCAGAGCACCCCAGCTTTCTTGATTAGAAGGTCGGAGGTACACTGGTTTGTATTATTGCGACATCCACAGAATGCTCTAGGTTGCTTTTCCTTCAGCAAGGGCTTTGTCAGAAGACGTTTAGGCTTGACCTCCAAATTTGGCTGACAATTTACTGATGAGATTCATGACCTTAGGGTTACTCTGATACTTGGACATATTTGCCGGGTTCTGAGCCACATCCTGGAAGGCCACCATAACTTCTGGATCCTGAAAAGAAAGGTTATGTTGTTGTATTTGATTTTTTTTAGTACATAAACAAGTTTCCTTACTCTAAATCCTCACTCGATTTAGATCTGACATGGCTAAGTTTAACTGAGACTTGGACTTGTGATCAATTATTGGACAAGTCAACTGAAGTACGTAACTTTCAAAATACTTCATTAGCAGTACCTTTTAGCATTATTTGATTTACTTAAGTATGATTAGTGTGTACTTCAAAGCTAAGTTCAGGAGTGTGAAGCATCCAGCTGATATGAAGTGAGGGGAGATGCACAAGAACACGCACACTCTCAGACAGTATCCATTTGAACTGGCATCTATGGCAGAACGATCAGAACACGACTAGAGGAAGAAAGAAGAGTGAAAAAAAAAAAAAAAAGGTAACCTACAGTAAGTGGATGAACTCGACCTAGGTTTGTGGATGCAGTATGATAAAGGAGCGGACAAATCTCTACATTGAGGATCATTCCCACCCCCCATGGTACACAGGATCAACAGGGAGGGGGAAGTTAGACATTGGCTACCCAAAATGTCTAAGAAGACCAGAAGAGTTGTAGGATGACATCAAGAACATCATACATGAAGAAAGCAAAAAGTCATTAAGAAGACAAGAAAGAAGGAAAAGGTCAAATGGATGTCAGAAGAGACACTGAAACTTGCTCACCGGTGTAGAGATGCTAAAGCAAATAGAAGAAATGAGGAGGTGTAAGAGCTCAACAGAAAATTTCGAAGATCAACTCGAGTCACTGTACCAAAAGGAAATGGTTAATGTTTAACCGTGTAAGGTAGCATATGATCAAGAGCCAATGACACTGAAGAAGGAAGTCCAAGGTGCATTGAAGGGATTGGTAAAGAACAAGGCACAAGGAACTGATAAGAGTAAAAATTGAAATCTTAAGTGAGGCGGTACAGGAGGCACTCACTCGCTCACCTCTGCCAAGAAATTTGGAAAACAACTAGCTGGCTGACTGATTGGAAGAGATCCATATTTGTGCCCATTCCAAAGAAAGGTGACCCAATGGAATGTGGAAATCATCGGACAATCTCTGCTATCCCATGAGAGTAAAGTTTTAATAAAGGTAATACAGAAACGGCTGCAAGCAAACATTGACCGAGAACTTCCAGAAGTTCAAGCTGAATTCAGAAGAGGCTGTGGAACAAGGGATATCATTGCTGATGTCCAATGGATCTTGGCTGTAAGGAGAGAATATGAGAAAGATGTTTGTTTACCTGTGCCTTATTGACTTCGCAAAGGCTTTCAATTGTGTGGATGATGACAAGCTATGGACAATATTGTGAAGTATGAGTATTCCAGAACAATTGTGCTCTGCGGAATCTGGTACCTGGACCAAGAGGCAGTTTTTCGAACAGAACATGGGAACACTGAATGGTTTACAATTAAGAAAGGTGTGAGACAGGGTTATGCTCTTTCACCATACTTATTCAACCTGTATGCTGAGCAAACAATCCGAGAAGCTGGGTTCTATGAAGAAAAACGTGGCATCAGGATTGGAAGAAGACTAATTAACAACCTGTGATATGCAGATGATACAACCTTGCTTGATGAAAGTTTAAAGGACTTAAAACATTTCCTGATGAAGATCAAAGAACACAGCCTTTGGTATGGATTGTATCTCAATGTCAAGAAAACAAAAATCCTCACCACTACATTCTTAGCGGTGGAGAAAAGATTGAAATTGTCAAGGACTTCTTTCTTCTTGGATCAAATACCAACACTCATGGATGCAGCAACCAAGAAATCAAACAATGTATTTATTGCATTAGGCAAATCTGCTGCACAAGACCTTTTTAAAGTGTTAAAGGGCAAAGATGTCAGTTTGAGGACTAAGGTTCGTCTGACCCATGCAATGGTATTTTCAATAACCTCATATGCATGCAAAACCTGGACAGTGAATAAGGAAGACCGTAAAAGAATTGATGCTTTTGAGTTATGGTGTTAGGGGAGAATATTGAAAGTGCCACAGGCTGCCAAAAGAAACCACAGATCTGTTTTAGAAGAAGTGCAGCCAGAGTGCTCCTTGGAGGCCAAGAAGGCCAAACTTTGCCTCTCATACTTCGGATATATTGTCAGCAGGGACCAGTCACTGGAGAAGGATATCATGTTTGGTAGGGTGGAGGGGCAGAGAAAAAGAGGAAGACCCCTAATGAGATACAATGGCCAAGTGGCAGCATTGATGGACTCAAGTGTGGCAACAGTAGTGAGGTTGGCCCAGATTGGGCAGTGTTCCGTTCTGTTGTGCATAAGGTCGCTATGAGTCGGTACTGACTCGATGGCACCTAACAACAAACCCAAAATGGGGGGGACTACAAACTTTCAACAGGGAACCTAGCTCCAGAGGATACAAGGAAATGTAGAACCTCAACTGAATTTTTTCCAACCTGTCTGGATGGGGTTGATAAAAGGTGAGGGGGAAAGGATTCCTGTGGTTCAAGAGGGAATGACTGCCATCAGGTCTGATAGGGAGTGTTGGAAAGGTAAATGTAAATGTTTAGTAACAAAAGGACGGGAACCACTGATTTTACAGTCCAGGAGTGGAGATCCCTGGAACCATCAAGGGAGAAAAGTAAAGTGCGAGATGGTGTCTGGAGAGGGAGTGACACTAGGGATGGAGGCAGAGGCAATGATGTGGACAGAAGGAGCGGCTGGGGACTCTGGACTCAAGGAGGGAGAGGGGTTGTGTGCTGGCGGCCAGGGAGGCAGGAGTTTTTGGTGTACCGTTTGGGTGTCTGATGATGCATGCAGGGGATTGTGATCATTGCAGTAAAACAAAGTACGACAGGATGAATGTAATGATAATGTTCACCCATATAACTAACACATAATTCACAGTAAAAACAAAAAACAAAATAAGCTAAGTTCATTCATGTCACTTGTATTAAGATAATAAAAAAGAGCAGGTGTAACAGCTAACTCTGATACAAAGAAAAGGCATTGCATAGGATAATTCCCAATGGTTACTAAGTACTTCCTATAAACCAATTTTTTATATTAAGCTACTTACTCTGGGGGGAAAAATAAAATACAATTACATAAACTAGTTATTTGGCCATCCAGAAACAGAGATAAATGAGTATGAGAGCTAACTTTGTCTCTACACAGCAATATATGAAATAAACACTTTAATGATACAAAGTCCAATTTTGTTCTTTCAAGTCTTACCTGCATAGCTGCAAGAACCTCTGGATCACTAAGAATCTCATTGAGCCCAGGCATGCCACCTGCCATTCCAGGCATGCCCCCAGGAAAATTACCAGGCATTCCCCCGGGAAAGCCACCTGCAAGAATAAATGAAACATACAATTGTACCAATACTGTGGTGTAGTACATTATTTAAAATGTCTTTTCCAGTCTTAGCCTTCGTAACTCTGAGAGAAGGTGGTGGGGAAGATACTGATAAGTCTTTAACAGTTAATGTTAACAGTTAATTGTAATTGTAAAAACTTGAAACTAATGTGGGTATACAAAATGAGTTGTCTCAGATGCAGAAGGAGAATTCTCATTACCATCAAAGCAAAGACAGGAGTGGAGCCTGTCCTTTGGACCCAGATATCCCTGCACATTGAATCTCCTCAACTCATGACAGAAACTGTGTCACCAGAGGAGTGGCAACAGAGAAGCAGCAGCAGAACCAAGAGTTGGAACATGAGACCAAGTGGCAGGCGGCTTCCTAGTCCATGGACCAGGAGGCTCATTACAGAGTGAAGTACCAGCAGGCACTAATTTGGGGAGCTAGGTTTGCTATAAGCCACAGAGTTAGAGCTGAGTGCCTTTGGGCTAAAGTTTCTGGGGGAGTGGTGTGTCTTGTAAGCATTTATCAGAAAGCCTAGAAGAACTCTGTAACATTGGTTGAGCAGGGAGGTCTGGCTATGGGCACAGTGAGGAAAGACTGTGCTAACTAAAACTGTGCCTCGAGCGTTTCAGCTCCTGAAATGTAACCTGCTAACTTCCTAAATAAACCCCATAACTCTTGAATATGGTGGTCTTGAGTTCTGTGTGACCACTGCAATGAATTATCAAACCCAGCTAAGTAAACAGCAGTGGAATGGAAGGTTTGGTGCCACACTTGTTTGCAAACACTAACTGTACTCAGACACGATCTCATATACTAGTTTCTTCAAATAAAAAAAGCACACACATCAATGTGTGAACAGAAAACAAAGATGCCAGTAAATGCAAAGGAGTCTGAACACTGACTAGATAGAATAGGATACAACTTCCAAAACCAGACTTTGCTCCCTTCTAGATTCATTTTTTCCCTACTAATCAAACTGCTTTAAAAAGAAACCAATCTTATCTTAAAAAAAGAAAATCCACTAATAGTCACTTAGGATTATAAAATTAAGTAAATAAAATACATTTATCACAGTCATCTCATATCTTCTTAATCTTTAACACTGTTTGTCAATTTTAAGGTAAATGATCACAGAATTTAGTCAGCTATAGTTGTTTTTGAAATCTATATTCATCTAAAACAGTTATTCACAGAAGAACTACCAGAAATGCTTATTTCCTGATCTCTACCTCACACAGGAACAAAATATGGACATCTGAATTTTTAACAAGCATTCTACTAATTCTTTTTCACACTGAGAACAATATACTAGGGAAGAAGGGGCGCATCATGTCAGCCTAGTTTGGTGGCTTCACCACCACAATTATGCTAATCAGGGACTTCCAGAAGAAAAAGACATTAATACGCTTGATAGATCAAGGGTCACTAAAAGTAGGCATGTGTAACAGTAAAGAAACGTGTAAACAAAGTCATTTTCACCTGGCACGACAATAATGAAAACTTGGCCATAAGGAACTGACAATCACAGAAATTTAAGGGGGCCTGAAAACAACTTCTAGCTATTCCTATTTCTACTCATTCCAAAGCTTTGAAAAACTAATTTCCACCCACTGAAAAATCACCATGAATTGCAAGCACAAACAAATCTGAGTCAGTCAAAATGCTCCTTAGAAGGATGGAAAGACTTCATCTCTCCTACTTTGGACATATTATCAGGAGGGACTAGTCCCTAGAGAAAGGCATTACATTTGGTAAAGTGGAGTGTCAGCGAAAAAACAGGGAAAATTCCATTGAGATGAACAGACACTGTGGCGGCAGCAATGGGCTCAAGTTTGACAACTGCAAGGATATTGTAGGACGGGGAAAGGATATTATAGGACGGGGGAAGTGTTTTGTTGTGTTGTGCATATAGGATTGCTATGAGTCCAGGAGGTAACTGAGTTCCCATTAGAGTAACAAACCTTTATCTTTTCCTTGTTATATAAATTTCATTCTACTTAAATTCAAACAAATTCAGCAATTATTTTCCAGTTGCCTGTTTGTCTCTTCTACCTATATTTTGGGAAGGAGCCCTGGTAGTGTATTGGGATGCTAACTAACTGTAAGGTCAGCAGCCACCTCTGTAGGAGAAGGATGAAGCTTTCTGCTTCTGGAAAGATTTATAGCCTTGGAAATCCTAGACAGGGTGGCTCTAGTTGGGACAGACTCCACAGCATACCACCAACACTGGATTGCTAGCTGCAAAGTTAATGATTCAAACCCACCAGCCGCTCCTTGGAAACCCTATAAAGGATTGTCGGACCTGATTTGGTGGCACTTAACAACCTGTATCTCAGGCCTGTGGGGATCAGTCAAGAACAAAGCTTTGCCTCTCTAGGTATTTCTGATTACTGACCTTTGCAGGAAAGGGAAGAGATTTTGTTATTTCCACTTCTAGTACCTTCATACCTGAGTGCATTTACCTCAGTGTTTGCATGAATATCAATGTACAGAAGAAATGTCCATATGGCAACTAGAGGTACTGGAATTACATCATATTAAGTTCTTATAGTCTTTCAATAAAGTATAATGCTAAGGTCTCCATATATGTTAACTATTAAAATACATGTACTAACTGCTCATTGTTGTTGTTGTT